ATTTTTTAGAGACATTTATCGGTGGATACGGTAGCTCTCATTATGCTTGGAAAAGCATTACATATTATACTTTTTCAATATCTATTGGAGTTCGTAGAATCTTGAAGGGAAGTACAATTAATATTGAACTACTCCGTTTCGGATATTATTAGAGATAAAATCAAAGACGAATGTTGACTTTGTAACATGGCTTCATCATTACTTTGGAACATTCTGAAGTATATGGAGCATTGTTCGAATTGATTATGATTACGCTTGTGCGATATATTTTTGTGTGTGCGGTGTAGAAGCACACTTTGGTGAGCTTCTAACAATTAAGTTCGAGTAACGAGATGAAGAGAACTCTCAACATCATGGAAATGCAGTTTTCACCTATTTTGTGAGGAGAAAAATAGTCTCACTTTATATGATCACCTCAAAATCTAAATTTTTTAATTCTTTTAATTTTTATAATAGTATCAAAAAGTTGTTCAATATAGTGCATGAGTGTCAAAGAAAAGTAAATTTCTCGAGGTTATTAGAGGAGTTGATCCACACAATCATGTCTAATATATTAGCGTTGTCAAGAGATGTGTTTGATCTTTTGATCGCAGATATGATTGCATAGATTACAAATGAAAAGTGGTTGATATTAGTAATCCCTAAAATTGTTGATTAGATGGTAGTATCTCATCTCCATTTCATTGTGTTTTTATTGTGTAAAAAATATCAAAATATTATAAAAATTTGTAATAATTGTGGTGTTGATACCACAACAAAAAGATGTCATATCTAATAGCTGTCAAGATAAAATATAATAAAAATGAATTTTATATTGAAATAAGTTAAATTTCAACTTGTTTTAAGAAATATCATGCACAAATAAAGTTAAGTTCACAATTATGTACAAATAATTATAGGAACAATTAATTATTCATTACTTTTGGTTAATTATCTCTTATCAATTGTACTCTCGTGTGTGATTGGTCGCGAATTCTTCGGCTCTCTTTGTACGTGGCATTGCTCGTTCCGTTGTCCGTCTACATGTCCTATTGACTGTATCTTCCACTATCGGCGCTGTCATGAACCATACCGGGACGTCCTTGTCAGTCCATTACGAATGCATCGTCCGTTGACATTGTTTGAGCGCGGATTCTTCCACGAGCATATTCCTCCGTATCCAGTTTTTCCGTTAGCCACTAGACGTTGTTTGGGACCGGCAGGTGAGCAGGGCTCCAAAGACCTTGAGATCGAATCTGCACCGTGGATTGAGTATGATTGGATTCGAGGTACAAAGTATCGAGTGCTGGACTTCACTATTGAACTGGCATCCAATGAATATAAAAGTTTGAATATTTTGATCATAAAAAATTTAGTTTAATGAAATTAATTTGAAATTGATCTATATTTCAAAATTTTGAAATGTTTCTCACCAATGTGTTCAAATTTTTGGATCCACATCTTCTTTGTTACCTTTAAATGTTTTTTGCAATTTAAAGTTATATTTTGAAATTATGTTTGAATTATAAGTTGATTATAAAAAAATTAATATATTAAATTAAAATACAAATAATCAACACATTATTCTAAAAGAAAGAAGTTCATTTCAAAAAATAATTTTTATAGCATTACTGTCAAAAAATATATTAAATGAAACCTTTAATTTGATATACATATGAAAATGCAACAAGAATAAATATGATGGAATTTATCGATGAATTTTCAAAGCAAGATTTTTGAATTTTAAAATTTAATCAAATTCGATTTTTTTAAAGCATTTTTAAAAGTCTAATATATAATAAAACTTGAAGAAATTTTCTTTGGGGATTTTTAATGACTATAAAATATCCCCAATGAAAAATTCTTCAAATTTCTTACTGTTTTGGAAAGTTAAAGATAAAACTTAACATAAAGACAATGAATTTTTTTTTAATGAAAGCTAATTTCTGAAAAAATACATATTACATTTCTGATTATTTTCATATTATGAGATAAGTATTATAATAAAAAAAATATTTTTCAACATGAAATTTTATATTTCTTATATTATTTTTTTTCTTGTTTCAAAAATATTTGAAACAAATAATTCTTGGTTGAAAGTTCTATTGGAAATCAAAGTCATTTGAAAAAGAGAACAAGTCACTTTAATAACATGGGCAGATTGAATTGATGAAAGATGAAGATCTCATAAATTTCAAACACCAAATATTTAGAAAATGAAATGAAATATTTGATACATAAACAATTTTTTTGAAAGCTTATACTTCAAGATTTAATTGCAAAATCAAATCAATGTAGATACTTTTGAACTCAAGTTGATAGGTTAAATTTGATATACACAAAATATTGCAAGAATGCATTATTTTTATAAATTTAATATACTTAGTAAAATTTTGCTGTAGAAGATAATTTTAGATAAAAAAATATATTTTTCAATTTAAATGATAAAAAACATTTACATGAAGTTTGACATTGATTGAAGCAAAAGTTTGACTATCATGCTGAATTTTATGAAAAGAGAATTGCCTTTTGCCTTGTGCTTTGTCAAATGAATAAAAAGCGTTTTTGAAAGTTCAAAAAGTTAACAACATAAGATAGATATTGAAAAAGTTGTAGAAAGATGAAAAATGTTAGTAAAATTTTAGTAATATTGAAATATTCAATTTATGGGTAGTGTATCATTGCATAATAAAGTTTTGAAAATTTTAAAATATTCAAATCTAAAAAGATGAGAAAAAAAAAGAAATAAATTTCACTGAAGAGTTAAGTATCATGCATTTTACATCTAAAAATTTTAGATTTTCAAAATGAAAAAAATCAATGCAACTACAAAGAGTATAAAATTCAAATTGAATGCATAAAATATAGATAGATTATTTTTGCATAATCAAATTATTAAATAAAATAATCAAGTAATAAGAAGCTTTTTGATTGCATAGACATAACGCTTTAATCCTAAAAAAAAATGATAATAGTATAAATATGATTAACATACTTGCATTCTAAATAATTTTATAACAATCCAATAACTTCTAAAAAAATCAATATCTCACAATTTAGAGCATTTAGTTATTTTATATCCTTATTTCTAAGCTCCTACAAAGTACAAAAACAAAATTCATACACACAATGTTAGAGTATTCTAGTTAGAATTTTTTTATAAGATTATCTAGTTATGATCTATTGCACATAGATAAACATTTGAATGGCCAGCAAATGTAAAAATTGATGCATCTACGATGTCTTGTGGATCTACGATCAAACTTCTTATAGCTTGAGGCATATATATACTTTGCATCAATAATCCTCCTAGTAAGTGAGGCTTACTGATAGTTTTATTGACATCATTAACCAAGCAGCTTTGAATGTATAACTATTTATTTGTCATAAAGACAAACTTCATTGTCTGATTTTGTGTTGAAGTGAGAGTGTCTACATCATTTTCTTGAAATTGGTCAATTCCAATTTTTTTTCTATACACACTTTATACATCTCCATATATCTACATCTTTACAGGTAACTCGTTTGAGATTTTGTTATAATATTCATGTAAGGAACTCTAGTGCTTTAACTCTTTGCCCACCAACTACAAAAGTCTAAGAAAATTCTCCTATAGGATCCAATCATTACTCAACCACCAAGATGTAATCTCGATCTTGCTTCAACCATGAATCAAGGCTTTCCGAAATTTGCATCAAATGAATTGCAAGGAATGCGCAATATAAAAGACTTTGGAAATCTAGAGCATTCGCGAGCATGATTTCACCTTCAATCATCATGTCGGACAAACTTCATTCACATGGACAATCACGCTGATCCCGAATCACCTGTGTTCGTGTTAACCTCTGTTATGGGAGATAGAGGTCAGAATTGCATACGGTTTCTTCTTCACAGTCTTGGCTGAAATAATGCACCCACAAGAAGGAATGAGTAATTGAGAGTGACAGCGATAATGAAAAACCGGTTTGACTTGAGACCGTGTGACACAGCGGTCGATTTCCAAAAGATGAGAGCCCCTTTCCAAAAGACTTCTCTCTCTGCCACTCGAAATAATTGGTGAAGTGTGCTCGCGGAGTACCTGAAACATATCACTGTCACATCCACAGGAAGCTCCATCAACTGCATTTATACGCGAATGAGTGCGATCATCAGAAGGAGAATATGGAACCGTCTACAGTTACTATATCGTGACACATGCGATAGGGAATGCATTTATGTTGGTTTCGGTGCCAACGACGCCAATGAATAATGGATTTAATAACGGATTCATGTCTTCAACTGGCATTCTTCTGATTCCGCCTTTAGTGCTTTTAGAGTACCAATGCCGCTCTGAACCCAACGCTGCTTACCATGCTTTAATGGCAAAGAACGGTGTTTTCTGCCTAGGACGAATGCTCACAGTTATTACTTGGATCGCGCTGCTTATTTTCCTTTCACGCAGCTCAGAAGGGCATCGGCGCTTGCTTCGAGCGCCTCATAGAGTCTCCTCTACGCAGGATGTACCATAGTGGTAGAATTTTCTCTATCCGTCCTGTCCTCACCAACTATAGACTGCGTGTCCAAGTCCAAGAATGTAGGGACTCCCTTGGGTATATTTCAGATAATAATAATCCGCATCTGTTCTGATTTTGTGTCACCTTTTCTTCATATCAAGGGACTTCCTTTCGTTCCCCCCTGCTCCTGGCCTCTGCCGACCTATTCTCTCGTCTTTAATTTCAGGGCCCCTTAAAGTATACACATACGGTTTCAGAGGCGGGGCCGGAGTCAGGAGATGATGTGATTTGCTGGGAACGATTATTTTGAAGTGCGAGCAATTAGGTGCACATGATACAGGACTCGCACATGTTTACCTCCACCTGACCCTCCTCGTGGTTTTATTGCCACAACAAGCTTCGGCCGGCTAACTTGTTACTCTAAAGAGTTCTCGCGAGCGCTTCATGTTACAGATGACGGGTCGGTATGAACCCTTGGCTCTTTTGCATGCGATCGGTTCCGAAATGTCAAAGACTAAATTAGGAATCGCTCGACGGCAATGGTGGCAAGCGAGCAAGGATTAAACAGCCTGTCACGCGGGCAGTGTGGCCGGTGTCGATGAGTTCGGCAAGAACGGAACACACGTAGCCAGCAATCTTGGCTTTAATCAAGAAGCGACGAGTCTGATTAAAACGTTTCCCACGTGAAACCATACGATTTCAGATCTTGTAAGCTTCAGTGCACTGTCCAAAACCTGTCACGAGGCAGAACGTACGAGCTGTGAAGTACGGAGACGAAGAGTGTAACTGTGTTCGAGGCATCGTACACCGTTCTGAGCTCTCTGGCTCGTGTGGAATCACGAGCCAGAGAAAGGTTCTGTAGACATCTCTCCACTAAAATTCCAATTCTGCACAAATCGCACCGTATCAATGAATCCTCATTAAAGTCACCGATTTCATCTGGCACCTTATATGAGCACCAAGGACCCCCATTACCTCGTCCTGACCGCTCCGATTGCCTGACGTCGTGCGGCTGTACCCATGCCGTAATTTGCGCGGCCGCTGGTTGCCAGCTGATCGATTGGGCTTGGTCGCGGGAGGTAAAATGGCCCGAGGACGACGTCTGGAGTTACACGGTTAAGAGGGCAGAGTCACAGAGGACTAGAGTGTAGAGAGTCTTGTGCGGAATCTGCAGACGAAGTCTTGCGACGTTTCGGTCAGACGTACCGAGTACCGGTATGATTGTTGAGCTGCGATTCCCGAATTGATGGTGCGTGTGACAGAGCTGAGGTGTGTGTCTGCTCGAAGAGCAGCACCGTACAGTAGAGAGTATATCTGACACCGATGTCCTACGGAAGGATATCTAATACAGAGTTCAGGCAGTCTGGGAAAATAATATTATAAATCTGCAGCCAATCTTCCAAGTCGCACACTTCTTATCGGCATCACATCATGCTCTGCCCCGGCCTAGCCTGCGAGGTCGGGTCGAGTCGAGTCGGGTCAGCGGCAATCAATTTACGCTGTGCGTTGAGGTTCGGCCTGGCTCGAGTCAACTCGGAGCAGAAGCCATCACACCCATGAGGGCAGTATCACTTCCCAAGTCACCCCTCCCCGACGCGAGACGGAGACATGCAGATCTAACTTCCCGTAGATGTGACACATTGTACGTGTTCCTCTGTTTGTTGTGTGGAGCACGTTCCTGTGAGGCAACATTGGCTTCGTGTCCTCTCGTTCTAAAAGACAGTCGTAGGAAGAAGCGAATGCAAGTACGCCCTCCATTAATCCGCTTGATTGATAGAGCGGTATGTGGTGTTGAGAGAATGACTGAGTAGGAGATGTAGTGTTTCTACTGTCGCTCTCAGTTAGTTGCTCAAGAGAGTTACGGAACTCCGGAAGTAGTCAGCATCTACGAGGGTTTCTGTGAAGAATCTTCTCTTCTACATCGAATATTTTTTTGGATGTTTGTTTCCAGCTGAGTCTGAAGTGAGAGATCCCCTTCCACCTCCCAGTGTTGACGTGCATGCATGAAGAGTTTTCGATTGGTGTTACTCCGTCCTCAAACTTCCAGAGAATGCCTTCGTCACATATATTGAGGTCTGTGCTAGCAATCCCCTTCCGCCAGTAGCAGGCTACGGCTTTTGTGAAACACACATTTCTTGACCAGAGCATCAGTTCCTCGAGTGGAATATCTGCCAGAATGGCGATACTGCGGAGCTCGTCCATTTGTACTGCATTCATTCTTCTAGTCAGTCCAGTATTATTTCAAGCCTCTTTGGCTCGTTCTTTAGACGGTCACTGGAACCCCAAAAATCCATCCTGCCCAACTACCATCTTCAACTTCGGAGATTCTCTATCGGACACGGGGAACGTAAATCTAGTGTTCCCTTTCATATCTGACCCAGAGAATCCCCCCTACGGTGAGAAATTCTTCGGCAGACCTGCGAGAAGATTCTGCAACGGACGCCTTGTCATCGACTTCATAGGTACAATTCTAGTGCACGAGCTACTGGAGGGAGATCTTTGTCAATTCTACACACGGAGAGGACAGCTTTCGCTGGGTACTAGCAGCTGCAAGAAGGGCACTTCGTCAACTGCATTTGAATGAGAAACAGAGCCAGCGTATGTAAATTCTGATGTGTTATATCTTTCTCTCTGGCTGATGGTGTCCCCGGGCCATTGCAGCTATAGCCTTCGGTTTCCCTCTCCTGGACCCTCACACTCTGACGGTGGCGCACAACTACGCCCACGGGGCAAATTTCGCATACGCCGGCGCCACATCATCCAGAGACAACTTCTTCGTGCCATTCTATCTGGGACTGCAAACAGCTCAATTTCTGAGATTCAAGAGCCTCACACTCGCAGCACAACAAGAGGATGACGGTAAGTGCTGTTCTCTCCCACTGCATTGGACAGTGTACTGGACTTTCTCGATCTCTCTGTCTTCGGGCCTGCTTGCATTTCCTCCTACAGACGAACAGTGAGAGGATTCTGCATTCGTTGCAAGTAAAGAAGTCCACGGCAGAGAACGAGCTGACAGGAGAATGACTGCCTCTGGAATCAATGTAATCGAATTTGTACATGTCCCTAACCAATTGGAGGTCAGAATTTTTCCGATACTTGTCAATAGTGCCTTAAACCATCGTTGACACTGAACTGTCTTACGTGCAGCCTTTGAGGATTTCAACAGGTATCTGCCTGAGGCGTCCAGCTTCAGCTCCGCTTTGTACACGATCGGAATAGGCGGAAACGATTTTTTGAGTTCATTCTTCCGCATGGAAAACCCCCAGCAGATTATCAATGAGAAGGTGCCCTTGGCTGTGCAAGGAATCGTAGACGCTGTCAAGGTATTGCACTTCCTTCTCTCGTCACTCGATCTTATATCTGGTGTATTCCAAACGGCAGACAAAGATGCCCGGATAACCTGTTTCTTATGAAGAACAACCGGACTTTACAATGTTTGCAGATCCTTTATCAGCAGGACGCGAGGAACTTTTTGATCTACAATGTTCCTCCCGAAGGATGCTCTTCTGTATTCTTGACCGTGTTCAGAGATCTGGGACTCCCCAAAGATGATCTCGGCTGCCTTTTGCCTGTCAACCTGGTGAATCAAGCTTTTAACGCTGCCTTGTATAAAGCCATTCAAGATCTACGATCATCACTTCCGGGTGTAACAATCAGCCAGTTCGACTATTATTCAGCCAACCTCGAGATCCTAAAGAATCCAGCCACTTACGGTATTTTACTCATTCACCTGTGCAGTTGCTCACTTTCGTTCTTGACGGTTCCTAACATGACAGAATTTATCACGTGGAGTTCATGAAGTTCACTCTGACTTTCCTCACCACATTTTTCAAGATAAGATAGGGAGACTGGCTGTTCGGTATCTCGCCTCTCATTGCTGCACATTCCCAGGAAAACCCCTTAAAGGAGGATATTAAAGTGCAGAACGAAATGCCTTAGTCTAGTTACTTGCTTCTAGAGCCGTATGAAAGACTGCAAGTTCTTAGTCTAGCTACTTGCTTCTAGAGCTGTATGACAGACTGCAAGTTTTTCGTGGAGACTTTTGCTATATGGAAAGAGAACCTGAGGAAGTAGTATGTCAGCTGGTGCTGGGTTATCATAACGACGCAGTCTCTGAAAGTCTTTTATAGCCTATCGCCAGACACCCCAGACATTTACTCTGCGTTATTTCTTGTCTCAGGCTTCAACCCAGCTTTGACTCAGACGACTTGCTGTGGAGCTCCGGGGCAGGGATCTTTCAACTACAACCTAAACATTACTTGCGGGCACCCAGGGTCTAGCGCATGTTCAAATGCAGATGAGTACGTCATTTGGGATGGAATTCACTTCACTGAAGCTTTCTACAGAGTGATTGCTAAGTTTGTCCTCAACGGCCAGTATGTGGATCCGCCAGTAAATCTGACTTCTGAGTGCAACCTCAGCTTTGAAAATTTTGGTCAGACCACATACTCTGAAACTTTTCCTGGCGGCAGCCTTCTCCTATAATACTACAGCCTTCCAGTCGGCTAATTTCAAGTGGCAATTCTTTATTCAATTGAAGAATTACTATCTCTTTCAATTATATAGAAGTAAAGTAAACTTATTTAAATGATGCATCAAACAACATCACTGGACATAATTGTTGTCACCCAATTGATTCGAAAGAATAAAGTGCTGTTTACAAACTGACCATGAATGTAACACAAGCTTGAGCCTATGGTGGATTTCGTACAGCTGACAATACATGCTCTCAACTCGGCTTTGCACCGCATTGAACCCCTCACCAAGAACATATCTTGCAAAACAGAGTCTGTAGCACGCTAGACAGCAGTGAATGACATTTGATTGAGAAAGTTCGCCTGCGACCGTGCCCACCCGCGAGCATCCCGACGTACCCGCAGCCGTAGCCGCCCACAAAGGCTCAGAAATTTGCACCCGCACCCGACCTGGGCCCTTGCTTGTGTGCGCTACCTGCAACCTAAGTCAGTCGGTGAAGGAAAACTATTAGCTCAGTGTTAACTGCTATCTTAGCAGAAGAGTAGGGATTCACACACCTTAGCAAGTCTACTTTCATTATGAGATGTTTCGGTAATCATTGAGTTGATACCGAAAACTTTTACTCTACACTGAACTTTTAAAGATAGGTCGGTGATTGCTCAAACTCCGGACAGAATGAAAGATGACAAGATTGGTTGAATGCTTGTGGACAAAACATTTCCATTCCCTTTGGTTCACTTTTGTCATTCTAAAGTTTCTAACGCTTTCCTTGATTAAAATTCAGTAGAACGCTCCTTCGATAAATTTAAGAATAAATGTAGAGAAGGTATCATCAGAGAACAATTTGGAAGTTCTGTGTATCGATTTGATTAGATTTCAAGTTCATGGGATTTTGACTTGATTCAAGAAGAAGAGAACGAGGCAATCCTCAATAACAACCAGAATTTTAATGATGTCCGTTAATAAACACTACTTGTCGGTCCAGGTATGTGATCTATCATTTGTGAAATCATAGCATTTCTTCTATTTGGTCAGGTCTATGTTCGAACGGAGGAACATCAGGATGTTCACCGTGGAAGGTTTCAGCTGGTTACGCTTCTTTGAAACTGTGCTACCGCTGTCGGAGAAGTTGTTCTCTGACATGGCGCTGGACGCCGGGACTGCAAGGATGGATCGTGCAGCTCGCGCTAGGATGTGCCAATTCGATGCCTTTGACTTCCATCAAAGCAGAATCCCCGTTCCAGAGGTCCCCTCATCGGTCTCTTTCATCATCCTCTTCTCGGACTTGGAGAGTGTGAACGCCTCGTACGCCTGCAGCTCGGCTATGACTAGGATCTCCAAAGTCGCCGTGTTCGGAACGTTGTCAATATCGTCCTGATCATCGTCATTGTCGTTGCTCGAGAAATCGTTGATGCAGCGACAAGGAAAGACGACCGAAATGGCAGCGCGCTTCCGTTTACGGGGATGGCGGTTGCAAGCGGTGGCTAGGACGGGGCGCTTATCGTCGATGGTCAGGGTTGGAGGGCTATTTTGGACCATCGTGGACTTGATGATTGCGATGGCTTCACGTTGAAGCTCGTCGTCGATTTCCAGCTCGCTAATGATCGGCTTCTGACGGGGATCGAGGTACGTCGTTGCCACATGCAGGGCCGTCAGCATAAACTTCTCGAGGATCTGATACTTGATGAGATCTTTGATGTTCAAGAAGTCTTTGGAATCAGGTGGGAGCGTCACCTTGACGCCGTCCTTGTCTTTCACCACGCGCTCCTCGTCCACAATGTCGCAATGTTCCAACAGCACCTTCCGCCAGTGGGTGACCAGATGCAACGTCGGAGTCTTGAACGCCTCGAGCTCCTTCGTGGCGATCTGGAAGAGGTTAAGGAACAGCACCAGTTCATGTAGGAGCGACTGGTCGATAATGTCCATCTTCTACTCCTGGTGGCGGAGGGTGAGCGTCTCTTGATGACTCTCGAACTCGCAATCGATACTATTCGTCATAATCAAGATGCCGACCCATCGGGTCGCCACGGCCTGCTTGAGCTTCGGCGTCAGCTGCTTGTTGAGCCCTACCCGCTTCACGTACGTGACGAGCGCCTTGCAGTTGTCGAGCATGTCAAACACGGCGGGAGCGTTAGCGTAGAACTGGTAGTACGGCTTCGACTTCTTGCCGTTGACGATGCTCGTCCGCTTATCGAGGACAAACGACAAGCAGGTGCTGATCGAATGGTCCGCACAGCCATTCCACTGGAACTCAGAAGGCAAGCCGTCTTCTCCACAGTTGTTTGAGGCATGGTCGGTGGTGATCCTGATCTGCTCCTTGACCGGCACGTTCATACTGTCGAACTCCCCCGTGAACGGGATGATGCACTGTTTGAAGGTTTTGAGAATGGCCACGGCTGTGTGTGACACTTCTGGGAATTGATCTACTTGCAGGGTGCGGGCATTGTGCTTGAAGTCGACGTCAATGTAGTGCATCGTCACAGACATGTATGCGATGCTGGTCAATGGTTCAGTCCAGATATCGAGAGTACACCCAGCGACCATCTTGTCTTGAAAGTGCGCCTGAAGTTTGGCGATGAGGACTTGGCGAATCGTTTTATATGTCTTGACCGCCGCCCGCTTGACTGTCACCTCATCGTTGAGGAGATCCTTAATCCGAATGGGGTTCTTGGAAGCGACGCCAATGTCCAAGACTGTCTGCAATAAGGACTGAAAGCCTTCGCCTGAGACGATGGCGAACGGGCGCATGTCAACGGCGCACATGGCGGCACACGACTTCACGACCATCTGCTTTGGGCGGCGGTCGGTTGAACGTTTGGACGTGCCCACTGCACTATCGAGTGCGATGAGCTAGCAACGACTGACTTCGGCGGGCAGTTGTGCTTGCGCAACGACTGAGTACCACGAGACAAAGTCCACGAATATGGCGTGCTGCACTTTTTGCACCCCACAAAGGTGATCGTGATCGCATCCGACTCCTGCACCTCCACGCGTCGGTTATCACAGATGCGAACGACTGGGCCGAACTCATCCCAAATGCTATTTGACGAAGGCTGCTCCTTCTGTGGCCACCTTACGACGACATGGTCGAGCACTTCAGCCTCGAGCAATGACTTCTGAAGCTCCTTCTTCACCTCATGAGCCTTCATTATGGATGTAGCAAGCGAGGGCAGACAGGCTGGATGTCAAGCTACAGGCAAGCCAGGCAAAGGCCAAGCAGCTACAGAGTCAACAAGTTCTGTAATTCTGGGTTCTTACCCAGATTTTTCAGTATCCGGAAAATTGCTTCATTTGATAATTCATATTGCGAACGAGATTGAATGAAACTGGCGGCGGGAATTCCACGCCGCCACAAACCGAAACAAACGCAACCAGCACCCAACCGAACCCATTGATTTATTTGTGCATATGTGTTGTTCCAACCGTAGCCGCACCCACACCTTAATTGAAAATGATCACCCGTAGCCGTACCCGCCCGCTGCTGATATGCACCCGGTGACCACCCACCCGTTGCCACAAGGTGCACCAGTGACCGCACTCCACCCGTGGGTAAGCGGGTATACCCACGGGTGCGGGTCTTGGCTGCCCGATGTCAGTCACTGCTAGACAGTCGCTTAGTCCACAATTATTGCGCAAACGACTTACACAACTGTATCCTAATAAGCATTCAATTATAACTTCATGTTCAAGAAGCGTAAGCCTCAACTCCTACAAATTTTCCAGTATCGTATATACCGAGATATTTTGTACAAAATGATATTATTCTAAACTTTTTGTTGCAGTCAATTAAGGAGAAAACCATAGGCATCTTCGAATGTATTTACCGTCCCTGCAATAGACTTGAATCATTCCATACATCTAAAAGACCGAAATCTATTCACAGGCAAGTATTATGCAGTTTTGCCTACATCCATGCAAGTTACGATGCAATTACTTTATTGATTTTCACTTAATGATTTGAAATTTCTTTTCTGGAGATGTGAAGTAGAATTTTTTGACTATCTTAGCTTCACTTAGATGAAGGGAGACCTAATACTTGACATCGCAGCAAAGAAAACTGAAAAATAAATTTACTGTATACTATCAGCAAGTTTAGTATGTATGTAACACCACAACCTGAATAATAACCATCCTTGCAACATACAAAACTAAATCCGCCTAGAAAAATGATTGATTAAATTTATTGACATTTTTAAAAAATCTGATTCCAAAGTCTAGAATGGATAGCAGAAAGTTTTAGATGAAAGAAAATTGTCTATTTCCAAGTTTTCTTTTCTGGGTCTAAGCATAACGAGTAAACTTGACAGAAAAATCAAGAGAGAATATCGTCGGCACATTACACAAACTCAGACAAATATAAGATGGTTCGCCGTTTTCTGGCTACGTCGACAAAAACACATAATATGTTAGGCTGACGTTTATTCTTTGTGCTAAATTGTACAATAGGAAGTACACAAACCTAAACTTATTGTCTAGTTTCATGAATCCACCATCATAGACTGTTTAGGGTTTAGGGTTCCGACTTGGATTGTGATCAACAATCTACTCCTTTCCACATGTTGGGGAAACAAAAAACTCTTAGCCCATAAGGAAATTTAATCAGATGTAAATTCTTTAAACGAGAATTAACTAGAATTAAGCCGTATTCAAAACATGCTAAAGTACAAAAATACAAAAGTAACTAAAAATTGCTACTTATTGTAAATTCTACTTCTGCTTCTCATGCAAAACTTGTATAGTAACATAATGTATTAATTTTTTAAAAAAAATTTACTTTGATTAACATATGAGTTGAATTGAATTTAACATCAATCTTGATTAATTCAATTTCTGTATTAACAATTTCATGTTTGATAAAATGATATTTGATGTCAATAAGTTTCACTTTGCTATCCATTATTTGATTTGCAACAAGATGTAATGCATTCTAATTATCACATTGAAAATTGACAATCTCATTTGTCAATCACATTTCAATAACAAATTAATCTAATTCAATAGTTTACTTTGTTGTTACTAGATCTAGATTTTCAACTAATGCATCCGTCATCAAATGTAGACAAATATTTAATTGTGAAATTATATCTTGTTCATCTCGATTTTATTCATAATCAACATCAATATAGTCTAATAGACATTTGACATTGATAAATCATCAAACAATAAATCATAATTTTCAATAATTTTCAAAG